AGTTTCTGAGTGTATACTGCAGAACCACTGCCTGGGTTGATTAGAAAACACAAATGCTCTGTCCTTCTAAATAATTGTTTTTCTTAAGTTTCATCTGGCAAAAAATATTTCAACCTGCTCTTGTCTTATGGAATGAAGTTTTTATCACCTTTGAATATCCATGTATTTGCAGAGCACTCATGTTAGCTATTTAGTACAATAGCGCTGAGAGGGTCCCCAAGGCACTCAAACCTGCAGTGGTCAAGTGGAAGCCACAGTAAAAAGCAGAGCGCAGTAGGCTCCCAGGTGATTAATGCAGTTGTCCTAAGAAGCTTCTTAAAGGACTATTTCAGGAAGCATGATTTAGCACAGGAGACATATTAGCTAGATATTGAGAACCAAACCATACATTGCTAATACTTACAAGGTAGTTATTTGACAGCACAGAAAAGCGCAATAAAACAGAATATTTCTTTTCTCCACTATTCCTTGTCCTACGTTTTCTATTGGGCTTACTTAATTTTATTATTCTTGTTAGTGAAAATTAGAATCCAGCACTAAAACATCTAGGAAACATAGCACTGTCTGCACTGCAGGCCATTAAATCTTTGTAAATCAGCCTTGGAATATAATCGTTTCCAATACATCATTATCTTTTTGCATGGCAGGTTGCTCTAATTGCAAACTGTCTAGATGAGATCCCATCCGTGCATTGTAAAACCACCACAAAGCATAATTGGATGAGTCTTAACCATTCTTGGCAGCAGGCAATCTCTTCTACCCCAGTGGCTTGTGAAGGTATTAAAGGAAAGGACAGCTTCAATGTGTGTAAAAGAAGATATTGGCTACTTATTTTTACAATGAGGAGAAATTCTTTTGCAGATGGGGAGGAGCAGGGAATCTCCAGTAATAAAAGTGTCAAAAAAAATCTTTGAACCCATTAATGACTTAAAAATGCCTTTTGTTTCAGCAGCTTTACTGAGTTGCCTGCCAGTAGCCAAACACTACTCTAACGTGCTATTAAATTCCTTTTTTTCCTTCTATTTAAACTAATTTTAAAATCTGTCTTTAGTTCTTGCCTAGCTAAAGGGAGACAGAGGCAATGTGCATACTCTTCCAAATTGGACTCATGGCCATTTCTTAACTTCCTTCCAAATGTGTTAATGCAAACGGAGAATAAGGCACTCTGCATAATTACTGGCAAGGGTGCGACACTTCACTGGATTTTAATTCTCAGATGCAATGTACACAAGCTGCTGCATAGGTTGTCAGCATGTCTCAAGGACAGCCTTGCATCTATCCAAGGTGACCATGGAGTTCATCTCCCATGCCAGGCAGCAGGTTACCAAACTTAGCAGGTCTTTGGAAAGCCATGAATCCCTGCACACAGACACTTGAGTCAAAGAGTTTGGTAGGACTGTTTACACAGGATGATCTGTATCCAGAGCCAGTGAATGATATGGGATTACCCGTGTGCTGCATGTTGTTGGTGTGTATTCAGGTGTTTTCCAAAATAATGGAGCTGAGCAGCTTGTGAAGTGAACTGTTAGGAACATAGTTACAGTGGACAAACTATTTTTAAAAAATGTTTATTGTTTTTGCAGATTTCTTTTCCTATTACCATTGTGAAAAAAATCAACATAACATGACGATGTTCAGGTCTTTAAAGTGTCATAAAATGGACATTAAAAAGTCACTGGCACCAAGAGAAAGCCAAAGAAGGCACCTCACTTTGTGCAAGCCTAGCATCACAAAACATTAAAACCCTTTCAGAATGTATGGCTTTCAGCTCTCTCATGCATGCAAGTGTGGGAGCAGCTAAATATATCAGACTGTTAGGTAGTTTTGCTTAATAAATATGGCACTATCTATTCAACAATTTCTGTTAGTTTACCAAGAAAACTTTCTAATTAAATATTTCTCGTAAAAAACAAAGCTTGGTTCATTTCTTCATTCATCTCACCTTTACTAGCTACTAACCTAGTTACTCAGGGAAGTGTTTAGGAGAGTTTGATCTCTCTTTTTTTTTTGAGTTGGAAAGCTTCCATGACAGTGTAACATTTAAGCCTTTTTAAATGATCGTTATCCATTCCCATTCATAGAGAGAGGAAATTACAACCAACATTTATTACAAGCACACTATCCCTCATGGAGCTTATAATAACATTTATTAGCCAATACTGTTGTATTCACTGTGGGATATGTTTCTCAATGAGAAGGGGAAGTGGAGAGGGGAAGCAACTAATAGTATTTTACATCTTTAGATAATTTTTTTGTCCTCAGAACTTCCCTTGTCATTGTTTTTCCCCTAGGTCTCTCTTTTTTTTTTTTCTGTTTGGGGCTTTTTTTTTTCCTGATTCTTTCTTCTTTTGCCTCATCTTGCTTGGAGGGAGCCCCTTTCAAATGACTCCCACTGTGCATATGTTGTTCCTTTAGGGTGTTACCTGAGATTTCTCTGAATAGTTCTGCCCATCCTTCTCTGAAGTCTTTAATCCCATGAAAAATCCTTCAGTAGTGGTTCCTACAGCTGCATTCACAGTTTCTGAGACTGAAATGCAGTCCTCTTCTGGTGTCTCCCTGGGTTATTCCCTGAGGTTGGTCATGGATCCCAGGCAGACTGTTTGAAATGGAACAACATCAAGACCACACACCTTTCAGTCTGTCCTTTTCCCTTCTGGCCTGGTGGAACCAAGGCATCTTCCACTAGTTCAGGATGGCAGGCTGAGTTCAAAAGGCTGAACTTTCCTCTGAAGTTTAGAGCTTTTAGAGGCTTTAGTTTGAAATTCAGATGATTCAAGTGTCTTTGCACTGAAATATCTCCTGAAATAGACTGCTAAATTCAGATTACCATAGGAATTCACGAGGTGCTGCAGCCCTCTCTTGAATTTTCTCTGCATTGGCGAACACCAGTACAGTCACAGAGACTATCTCCTATATTATAAAATTCCTGAGAGCTCTAGCAATGAGTTTACAATCTTCGGTCACTTCAGCATGGATATTATAACTTTATTCCTACTTCTGTTGAGTCTGGTATTGTGTGGTTGATTTCTGTGTATCCCATATTTTTCATTTTCACCTTTTTAAGTCCCAGGTTTTCCTTTTAAGGCCAAAGTATTGAATTTGTTTGTAAGTCTGTGGTTCTGCAGTAGCACTTGTAAGTTGCCATTCACTGTGATGCTGAAATTCCCAGTAGGGTCATAGTTGTCCCCTGTTTTACTACTAGTACTGCCTTCCGTTATTACACACAGAATTCTTTCTGTCCTAGGGCAGAAGTGATAAATCTCTAGGCACATGTGTTTTGTTTTAAGGAATGAAATATTAGACAACAGAATTAAAAAAAATTAGAAAAGCTTACCACATCAAACTGAAACAATTCAAGTATCCTTTTGCATCTCTAAGAACACCATCATGCTCTTTCTCACAGATGGATGAGTCCTGCATGGATCTGTTCTTTTATTTGTTTTTGTCAATACAGAAATCATTTTACTGAGTTCAGTGAAAAGAAAGACCTGATAGTCAGTGGTTTGCAGCAAGACAGAATAATCTGATCCCCTGGCTTTGCTCTTGTCATTGGAAATTATTACACTGCAAGATAGACTAACTTTTCTTGGAACTGCTTGTTTTTCCATAGGCTTTTTTCTGAACTGGAATTCAAATTGTGTTCCGTGCATTACAGTTTCTTACATTATTCCTCTGAATTGTTAACAGCCTTATTTGAGTCAGCCTATGAACTTTTCCATCCGCCCCCGAAATTCACATTTATGGTTTGCCAGTACACAAATCAACTTTTCAGTAAATGTTTAATCAGTTTATGCCAGAAGAGTCTATTAATGCAGGTTTCCAGAAAACTTAGACTTATGGAAGCAGTCTGGCAGTCTGTGCATGTGTGTCCATCTAACCATTTGGCTATCTCATATTTGCAACAGGATGTTTAAAAACCTGTTTATAAGCATTCTCCTCTCCAAAAGCGTAATGAAAATAGGCAGCTGTATAGATGTACCAATGCAGCAGGCTTGCCTACTGACAGGAGCAAATATCTACAAGCCTTAGTAGGTATACAAAGAATCCACTTGGGAATGAGAGAGCAAAACTATCCAAACTGCAAGGAAGTCTTCAGTCAACTTGTGTGATACAAGACCCTGAAGAATTTGACAACAAAACACAGATCTGAGTTTTGCCATTTCTGCAGCTTGTGGATTGCACAGCGGCTGCAGACATTAGAAGAGATGTCTGGGGGGAAAGTCTCATCTTTTCATATTCTTTGCAGAGTCACTAGTTGATGTTACTAATGTTGATGTTTAAATAACTCAAATGGAATAGGCTCTCAAGGCACCTATTTTGCCTTATCAGCTCTGAAAGAGCTAGCTCAGGTGCAGCCATCAGTGTTGCAAACACCTGTATGTGCATGCAGTCCAATGCAGCCTGCTTTCATAACCTATCAGTAGGGGGACAGAAATAGGTCCTCTTTGGAGGAGGGTTTTGTCTGTCAATACACCCTGCTCAAACCCACTGATGTGAGCTATTTAGGAGCTCTAGGTTCTTCCCCTATCACCACTGGGGGACAAAACCTCCAAGTCAGAGCAGTGGAAGCAAATGTGGCAGCTGTTGGTGTTACTGCACCAGTGTGCTGTGGAGAGCTGTTAGCTGTTAGCCATGCAACAGAACCAGTGCTGTTGCAATGGAAAATGTGTTTGGTAGAGAAAAGCACCTGGCCACCCCTACCAGGACTATCGGCCTCCCTGTGTGAACCTCTTCTGATTTCTTAAAAGGTCTGGCTTAAGCTATTTTTGTAGGAAGACCTACTGTGTGCTAACAGGTGAGCTTCAGAAGCATGTGTTTCAGTAATTAGTCTAGCTTGTTGCTAAATTAGATGTATCAATCAAGTGGTTCAAAAGAGACTTGTAGTGCTAAATGTGGCTTGGTCACGAGCATGCATCACCATCCTTGCTGGTGTTGCAATGTGAATGGGCTGGGCTGGCCTTTTGCCGTGTTGTAAGCTCTGCTTCTTTTAATGTTTGCAGGATTTCACACTCCCACCTCTGAGGAGGAGAGCAGCGTGGAACAGGAGTGCTTCTCCTGGCCTCAGTAAGCATGAGATGACCATCTTGAGTGGCAGGCACTGGCAGAGCAAGGCTGATCCTTTCGAAGTGGTAGCTGCCTCCTTGGTGAACCAACTGTCTGACCAGCAGAAGATGAGCGAGTCACCTCTCAGCCAGTTCAGAGAGGTGTATTCACCTCCTGCACTGCACCCTTCAAACAAGACGTTACTCAAGGGTGGCAAGTGGAAGGATGTGGATATCACCCAGGAAAAGCGCAGGTCCTTCCTGCATTACTTCTGTAAGAAGTACAACAGCAGAAAGAAGCTGCAAACCCACCTTGTGCACCTCGTGTCAAGAATTTATGTAGAGGACAGGCACAAGGTCCTGTACTGTGAAGTGCCAAAAGCAGGCTGCTCTAATTGGAAAAGGGTCCTCATGGTGCTCAACGGACTCGCCACTTCAGCACACAACATTTCCCACCACGATGTGCACTATGGAAAGCATCTAAGGAAACTGGACAGTTATGACCTAAAAGGGATACACACACGCTTGAACACGTACACCAAGACTATATTTGTACGTGATCCTATGGAAAGACTGGTATCTGCCTTCAGGGATAAGTTTGAACATCCAAACAGCTATTACCATCCTGTATTTGGGAAAGCAATAATTAAGAAGTATAGACATAACGCAAATGAAGAAGCTTTGAAAACAGGATCCGGAGTTACGTTCAAGGAGTTTATCCAATATTTATTAGACTCCCATCGCCCAGTAGGAATGGACATTCATTGGGAACAAGTTAGTAAGCTCTGCTATCCCTGCCTCATCAACTATGATTTTATAGGAAAGTTTGAAACCCTGGAAGAAGATGCCAATTACTTTTTGCAGCTGGTGGGTGCTCCAGCTGAGCTGAAGTTTCCTAAATTCAAAGACAGACATTCCTCTGATGAGAGAACAAGTGCAGAAGTAGTGAGGCAATACTTAAAGGAATTGTCTGAGAAGGAGAGACAGCTGACCTATGACTTCTATTACTTGGATTACTTAATGTTCAATTATACATCACCAACTGTATAGCACCAGAATAGCTTCAGGCTTCTATTAGATATTTATCATTTTGGGATTCAAAACAACTACTTTGACATTAGCCCTGAAAGGAAACAAAGTTACTGCTAAGTAGAGTTGTCTTGACTAAGTGGGGATTTTACAAGCTAGAGTGACATCAATTGACATTAAATTATAGGAGAATGCACCGAAAAAAAGACCTGTAAACAGCATAAATTGCACTAAAATGTTTGAAAGAGCTGCTTTTACCATTATGGATTATACTGTGGAAGAAGTAGAGCAGCCAGCTGTTGCATTAGCTTGCCTAATGTTCTTTTAATGGCTTAAGAAAAAAGCATTCAGAGTAGCATGATTCTTTTTTGGTGTGCCTGCTTTAGAAATTGTTTTTGAAACTATTTTTGAATGTATTTTTTACTTTCTGTCACTTACTAATAAAGAAGCATTGACTAATTTTCTAAAATGTTTGCAGCATTCTCAGTTGCAATGCTTGTTTGTTTGATTACCATTACACTGTAGCTGGTTTTAGACCTGATTGGTTTTTATTGAAGGATGCTCTTGAATACAAATGCATAATACTACAAATAACACAGCAGCTCAACTGTTGAGCAGAGTAAATTTGGGTAAGCCTTTGATCTCAAGTCCCAGTCTGCTACACCATTTTGATTGATACACTAGAGTTGATAAATATGACCCTCTTTTCAGAGAACTGCCATATGCATTAAAATTAACATTTTCATTTACAGTGAAGTCAACCACCAGTGATGCATACTGTGATCCAAATATTCCAGATAGTCTTCCTCTTTGGTGATAGGGCAAAGTCTTAGGATGGTAGCTATGGAACATTATAAGGTCTGTACTGAGAAGCAACTTCATTGCAACTGCTGTGACCGCTCTTGGTCTGTGTTCAACCATCAGCCCAGTTCCCAGCAATTTGTTACACAGAGGGTGTGTGTGCCCATTGCCTCCAAAACCCATGGACTGGTTTTGTCCCCAGAACTTCCTGAAGTCACCTGTGTTTTGCTGTCCTTCCTGCCTTTCCAGCAGCCAGAAAACCCCAGGGGTGGGATAGATGGTGTAGTGTTACATGGCGGGATGGGTATTGGTGATTTGTCCTAGAGACCAGAATCCCACAATCCTGGTTATAAAAGGAAAAGGTACCTTCTTGCCTCCTCTTCCCTCTCCTCCCTCAAGTGTTGTCTGCAGTTGCACATGTAGACATTGTAGGATGTGTGGCCAGGGTGTCCCAGGTGGAGGAGAAGTCTCTGCAAAATGGATAGAGAGAAATCCCTATGCCCTTCCAAAATAAAGATGACAGCTGTTCTCTGCTTCCTGGAGTGGTTTGGGACATCTTGCTACAGCATCTTGATATAGCAAGTTGTAGAATAAGGAAACAGCCTGGCAAGTAAAACTGATGCAAGTAAAATGTTCTTTTCCTGTGTTCCCAACCACTGCTCCTGACCAGTGGTATTGCTGTCCTTTCCCACATCTCAGGCAAATGTACAGCTTCAGTCCTTCCACAGGAGTAACTGTGGCTCCCTGCTGAAAGCAGAGACCATTTCCAACCATTTCCTTTCTCCTCAGAAGAGGAAAAAAGCCACTTCCCGCCTCTGCTGTGCCAGTGTGTAGGTGAGCAGACTTTGCATGTCTCTCCTCTCAACAGGATGAGCTGCACTGAGGAGGGAAGATAAAATCATACTGGGGCTGCCCAAGCTGGAGGTGGTGCTGTACGTGACCAGCAGCACCTGTAGTCAAAGCCAGCCTGTTCCCTGGCACTGCAAAGCAGAGGAGGAGAAGGAAAAAGCCCACAAGCCATCATTACCGTAAGGTGTGAAGGGATGCAGGTGTTCAGCACCAGCAAGGAGATGCAGGGATGGCTTGGACAGGTAAATGTACACACGGTTTCTTGTGTGAACTGTTGCTGTGCCTAGGTGGACCCATAGGTGTAAACACCAGAAGTGTTTGGGGTGGGATACACAACCATTGAACTGCCTCGATACATACCTTTCCTCAGGTGAACAATATGTCCCTAAATCTCCCCCTTTAGACTCAAGATGGTGTCTGACTCCCACCTTCCCTGTGGGAAATCCCTCCTGATTTTCCCATGGGCCTTCTCCCAGAGCAGGAAGCACCGGAGTGCACTGCTCTACCCAGGACACCGTGGGGAGTGCAGCTGCCACATGGCTGAGGGCTCAACCCCCAGGGCACCATGGTGGAGAGGTGTTTCCTTGCAGCCGCTGTCATGCTGCACACCAGTACACCGCCACTCCAGTAATGTGCACCATGCCAGTTAATGGCGGTTACTGAGTTTCTGTGTGCCTTTACTCAGCATGACATTTTTTTTTTAATTTGTCCATGCTTTTTCATGACTGTTGCTCTCAAGTGGGACTGTGCATTAGGACATTAAAGAGCAGCTCCTGCCAGAATTTTGATTTTGTACCACCCAACTGCCTAACTCATGTGAAAACTGCCTTAGATTTCATTTTGATTTGACCTTGGTGTAAAAAGCATCTTTTCCACGGACACAGTGGAGCTCTCTAGATCCTTCTCTCTTGTAAGTATTGATTCCCACTTCAAATCCTGAATGAATCTCTCTTGTCTTGTAGGGAGGCCATTGAAGATGTTAAATAAAAAATAAATGTACATCAACCTTTGGTTGTCTACGTATTTGCTTTGTCTTGGATGTTGTGAATGTGTGTTAATTGTTAATTTACGAACAAACAGATTGCTCATGTACCAATATTTTCTAAAAAAATATGAGGAAAAAGAAGTCTAAGATGCTAAATAAAGAATGGATGGAGGCCAATTTATATATGAGTTGTGTATAAATTCTTAAATTCAGAGAAATAAACAGTAGTAAATGACAAACTCTCCAAGGAACTTAAGCTTCACCTTGAACTGGCTTTAGTGACAAACTTTCAGCCTATCTGAGCAAGGAATGACAGAGATTTGGAGGTGAGGAAGATGTAATTGTACTGAAAAAGCTGTAAGATAAGATTCCATCTCCTAACTGATTTAGTTAAAACTATTGTTTGAGTCAAAGGGAGGTGATAGAAGTTATTAGCAAATGTTTGGCTTCTGAAAATGAGAGGGGAAATGACATTGATACGCATGCACTCCTGGACATAGACATCAGGTCCCTTGATTGTCATCTTGAAAATCTGGTACAGTTGGCATTTGTGATTTAAAGGGGGAGGACACTACTTGAGGCCTTTAAAGCAAGTATGTGCACAGAAGCGTAGTTGTTTTAACCGCACTGTTGTTCTATGGCTCTAGTGAAAGTAATTTAACTTCTCTGTATGCTCAACTTCAAATTTCATAGCCCCTAACTGCACTTAAAAATTCATTTTTTGAAAATCTAACCCAGACTTTTGTAAAGAAGAGCCTCTCCATAGTCATCTTCAGCAACCTAAGGGATTCAGATGATCTCAGTAGCAGGATCTAGATTGTACTTTGCCTCATTAACCACATTTTGAAAATCACCAGCCTGCTTTGCCAGGAATTAAGTTACATGATTTAAAATTAACATAAGAGTTTAGCATAATTGAAGTGGGACTGTGATATCTGACTTCTGGGATTATAAGAGATAAAGGCATAATTTGCAGCATAAAAAATAACCCCTATTTTTTAAAGTAAATTTTAACAGGTCAAAGTGTGAGGTTGGGTTGTAACTTGGCTTATATTTTGTAAGACTGCTAGGCAAAAACAAAAATTGAAGGTCACCTGTTATAACTAGTATAAAATGCCACCTCCACAACTGTGCACAGATGTTTGTTCTACTCAGAAAATTATATTGAACGTATGCAGAAAAGAATTGAAAATATACTCCACAACGTTCAGTGCAATTATACTTACACTGAAGGTCAGCTGCAGCATGCAGAGCCTCTTTGAGGGGCTTCATTACAGTAAATGCTTTTTAGTTATGAACATTCCTTCATTTGAAGATCTCTAAGCACTTCTCTAATGTAGGTCAGTTGTCAGGGCAAGTCAAATGTGCAGTAAAGGCATCACAGTGAGACCATGGGAGGGCTGGAGTGGGAGGAGAGTGCTCCCTTGGCTCATTTGTCTCTTCCAAACACCAGACAGTCCTGAAACAAAACTTGATTTTTGAAAAATAAAGTTCCATATTTGTCTTTCTTCTAAAATGAAACAATATTAAACAAATTATTTAGTAATAAAGTAAAAAATATTTCAAATAAATAGAAATAAATTAAACATAAACTGCATAGATGTGCATTCTCAAATTCTGATATCTTTGCTCACATAAGGCAGTTTCCTCTTTCCATGTAGAATTTGGCTAGCAAAGCTTGGACACAGCCGTTACGCCAATCTCTTCTAAAACTGCTGGTAAACTGTTGCTTGCTGGAAGTCAGCAGTGTGCAGCCACAGTGCAATCAAACATAGCACATCCTCTTGAAATGTCCTCTTGTGTAACTCCCCCAAAAGGCCAAGTTTATTGGAGCTGCTCCTGCCTCCGGCTGTTCTATCTTGGTGATGTGTCATTGGAGATCATCACTTTAATTTTAAAGGTAGTTTAAATTTAAATGAAAATTACAATATGACACTTTGCAAAAGTCTGAGAGGAAAATATTTTAATAGAGCTTTGTATTGTATATGTAGGTTATACATAAAAGTCTTTGTTGTATGTGCCTTCAGGCTAAAAATGCATCAGATAAGTCTTTTTAACTGTAATGTTAATGGCAGTTTATCAGCTGTGTAACCTGCTGTGATGCTTTCAAAACTAAATTAATCTGGGCTTGGAACCTGATGTCTGAAGTCTGACCATAAATTATTACACTTCATAAAAAGTACAGATGCGTTTGTCCTGTATCATTTGCAGTTCAGAGGGCAGGAACAGAGTGTACCAGGGAGTGCAATTGCCTGATGCAGCAAAGGAAATCTGTCCGTAACCCCAGATACCTGGGACTGATTTGCCTACTGAAATGGGTATATGTGTGTAGAGGAAATAGTCATATTATTTAGTTTAATGAGAATGTCTCAGACTAAATTTGGTA